GTAGCCAGATACGATGCGATGCAGGGAGGGGGAGGGGGGTCAAACTATATCTAGCTTATAAGAAAGGCACCATATATGCACGCAGGAGTACAAAACTTATGTACATTAAGGGCACTGTAGCCAGATCGATGCGATCGGGCGTTATGAAGGTTGTATGCACTGCTGTAGTAAGAAAATATCCTGACACTCGAGATCTAGTTATAGAATCGATTGAGAGCTAAAGTACAATACATATTGGGCTTACGCTAGTGCAGCTAAAAGGACAACAAATAAGCTACAGCCTTTGTCACATTCACATGGACTGCGTCCATGTACATCGAGCAGTGCTCAAGCGACTATCTAAAATAGGTTCCGCAGGTCCCATGAATGGTGCAAACACAGGGTTAACGTGGTCTAAAGGGGTAAAGGTCAATCCAAATCAGAATTTAGTAAACCTCTGCGAGGACTACAAAGAATTGAGTACTGATCTGGCAAGTGTAGCCGTGAGAAACTTTTTAATCCTAACATACGCCGATCGAACGATTTGAGTAAACCAATGCGTAATACTTAGTTTGAACTATTAATGGCTCATCGAGCGGCAAAATTAGAAACGACAAAGTATTCAGAACGTGGCTTAAATATATATCAAGCATTCGATCATGTATAAAACAGTCTTAAAGAAACGATGTATCTACTGTACCGGTACTTATTTCAGCTACAAGGACATCGATATCCTGCACAGAGTGAGTTGACTCTTTTGAAGATTTATCATCAAGGAACAAGTCGATGATTGGAGCATTGGAATTCATAAGTGCGCTGGCGACTTACATTTCGTGATCCGCTAAATCTACTTTTGATAAAGAACTCTATCCTATAAATGATCTATAGCACTATACATATTTCTCATTTCTTTCATTTTTTCTTTTATATATTGATGCGATAATCAGCTCTAGCCTGAGAAAAAAAAACATTCTGTTCCTTCCTCGGTGTAAACACATACGCCATATTGCGTTCCAACTCTGAACGATCCATCAGCCCTTTATCATACAAATAAACACAGAGACATTTTGCTATTGTAATCGCTTCCATGATCAGCATCGAACATTGAGCATTGAGCATGCGCGTTCCATTGCCAATTTTTTCATGGTTATGCATACCGATATCAGTAGAGCTGCCACAGAACCCTTCGTTAGGTCTGATATGTATGTATTTCCAGTAGCGATCACATTATACTTCATCGTGCAACAACTTTTATATTCACTGAGGCATGCGGAATATAGATCATTTGATACACCAGCAGAAGATTGAATGCTACATTCTGTTGCATCTCCAATATAGAGACCAACGTCATCGTTCAATCCAACTGCATCCTTTTTTCGTTTAGTTGTGTGTTTCGCTGCTTATGTTGGGGTTGCAAAGGGTTGCCGAGATTACATAATATGTGAAATTGCAATTAAATATGCGATGTGATAGCGGCGTACTGTTGATTCATGTACGTCAAATACACTAA